CTTTCTCTCTTTCTCTCTTTCTCTCTTTCTTTCTTTCTTTTTTTCTTTTTTTTTGACAGAGGGTGGAGTTTTGATGTGTTGCCCAGGCTGGAGTGCAGTGATGTGGTTATAGCTCACTGTTGCCTTGAACTCCTGGGCTCAAGCGATCATCCCACCTCAGCCTCTTGAATTCTCACCAATTCTAAGTTTTGTGAGTTATAGTTCCTGTACTTGCCCACAGGCAGGTTATAGGCTGGAAGTGAGAACAAAACCAAGAGGATGGTGACGACCACTTTGGAGGGGAAGGAACCCACCCAGGCTTGCTGTGGTTAACAGAGCTGACACAGGGGCTGATGTTCCCCCTGGGCCCAGCCCTCTTGGACTCTCTGGCTCTCCACTGATCCCCAAAGGTTTCTGTCCATGAGGATTCAATCAGCCTTGGGATGGCTGGCCGGAGTTGGTGAGGGAAGCAGGAGGGCTGTAAATCTGGGAGAGCTGCAAGTATTCAGGGTCTTGAACTTTATCAGGTTTGAATGTGTGATTGTGAAAGTAAAGAGCAGAGAAATGACAGCACTCAGTAAATCAAACATAGAGAAGATCAGAACTGTCAAAGACAAGAGAAAAACAGGCGCTGGGCACAAACGGCAGAAAAACTGCAGGGATGGGAGACTTTTATGTTCCCTCCAGACTTTGCCTCCTGAAAAACAAAACTCTTTCCCTGTCATATTATCTTGAGAACAGTATTCTTTGTTTTATCCCATAAATTCCTTTTTAAAGTTTTCATTATGAAGGTTTAGATCTTCTTTTAGAAGATAGAGTGCTATAAGAAACAAAAAACAAAACAAAACAAAACAGAAAATCAGTTGAAAAATGACTAGAGTGACCTAGATTTTTTTTCTCTATCAATAAGTGTTCCATAGCTTCTCAGAGATCTTTTTTTCTTCTTTCTAAAAAACATGTGATTAAAGTATAATAAATTTGCATATATAGCAATACCAAATTGAACAGTAAAAGGCATAAGAGAAGTCTAAAGTTAAATGATCAGGTCACTTTAATTAGTTCTTTTTCCCCTGCTAATATCCAATGCCAGTCCTCAAGGTTGCCCTTCTTAGTGGCCTGTTAATTCACTCCTGTGTACTGTCAGAAAGAGATTCCTGGGAAGGGGTGCTGCTTAGGACAGGGATTCTTTTGTTGGAGCAGAGGAGGAGCCTCAAGATTACTGTCTTTGTCCTGTAGAAGGCATTACAGAAAATCTGTTGCTGGCATTTGCAAGGGGAACAACAAGGGCTGTCTCCTCTTCAAAGGAGCCAAAGACAAGTAAAGAACCTATGTTTGTCTCACCCTTCACCTCCTTTCCTACCATAATGCAATAAATAAAGCCCTCACTGCTGGTACATAGAAAAGGCTTGAGACCTCTGGTGAATTGCGGGTCCCAACGTTGAATGAGTGCTCAAATAAGTTTTTTCCTGGGAATTAATTTCGCTCCTGGGGACTGTTGGGTCACACGAGAAATCGAAATTTGGTGTAGTATATGAAAGTCTATTACAATATAGATATTAGTAATAACACTTATATAGCATTTACTATGTGCCAGGTACTATTAGCAGTTTACATGTAAGAAATCTTTTCATCCTCTTAGCAATCCTGTAGAGGAGATACTTTTATTATCTTCATTTTGCAGATGAAGAAACTGTGGCACAGAGAGATTGGACTATTTGCCATGATCACACCGCTAGTAAATGGTGGCATCAGGATTGAAACCCAGGCAGGCTGGCCCAGGGTCCTGCTCAGGCCCACTGGCTCCTAGACATTTCCTCAGTGTATGAGCCACTCCTTTCTTTCCAAACCCGCTGGGTCGCCTAGAGGACAATCTGGACTTGGATACTTTTCTAGAGAAGGGAAAAAAACTCAGCCATCTCCTTCCATCTTGGCAAGTGGGACTTTGCCTAACTGGCTTTACAGAGGTGCCAACTTTCTAGACTGTAAACACTTCAAAACTAGGAGCTAACTTTTCTCTTTCTTCCTTGTGCAGTGCATACTCAGCATGCGTTAGGCAAGTGTCAGGGAACTGGAGGTCTGCATCTTGGTAGACAATCCTTTGGTCCTAATTCTCTCTATGTTTGCAACATAGCTGAATGGAGAGGTCATATTTTTGGTTAGTAATTTTTATTTGTTTGCTTCTTGGGCACTTTTTGCCCTTTTGATTGTCTCAAAGCGGGGCATTTGTAATTTAGCGAGTCTCCAAAAGCTGATTTCCTTCTTTTTCCTGTTTCCTTTTAGTAATCCCTGTCCCACACTTTTTGGTTTTGAAAAAAAAAAACAAAAAAACAAAAAAACAAAAAACCAAACTATAGAACAGTCAGGAAGCTCTTTGGGCTGAGACAGCCCAGGGATAGTGATATCTGGACCCAGGCCCTAGAACTGGCATGGCCTGAACACCTTGTGATACCAGCAAAATCCAGGAAGAGCCTAGGTCCTGCCTATCTAGTGGGTTGGAAATTTCTCCATCTCTTTCACCTTCTTGGGAGCAGAAATACTGCCTTTTCCTCTGATGCTCTGATTTTTCTCCTCCCCAGAGGCTGGTGGGGTAAGGATTAGATAGGATGGATGTTTTTTGGCATTCACCTTATTTGGAAGGGCTAACAAGAAAAGAAGGGCATCTTCCACTTCCCAACCCAGTGTGAGGGGACAGACAGGAGACCCGGGGCTGCCTTTTGGAATTGAGAGTCCTGCCCCCAACATCTGCTAGAGAACACATTAGGGGAGGCAGAAGACTTAGGAAAGCCCCCTGCAGGGAAGCCAAGGGATCTCATCTGCAGCTACCCCCCCACCCCCCACCCATCGCTTCCTTATCCTATTTCAGAGGTCGAAAAGGTTTATGCTGGTCTGCAATATGGACTCCTTTTACTTGAAGGGAGGAGAAGACTTCAAAAAGTCACACCTGACTCCCCAAGCCCACTTTTTAGTATCCAGGATCAGGAAACTGGATCTTCCCTGCCATCACCCTTTGGTGAAAGGGAAGGGATCCAGGGACAGGGCCTCAGCCCAGCTGGCAGCCTTAGGCTTTATGTAGTGGTGCCAGCAGCAATTAATAATGATAATAAATACCACATTTCATAACCAAACCCAAGCCGAGGATGACTGAATGATTGGACCTCTGCCTCCCACCTGCGTGCCGTTTCTCTGCGAGTCCACACCCTCCCGGGCAGCCTCAATTCCACCCACCACCTTCAGCCTGGGGTTCAAAGGAATGGCTGCTCCCCAGGACCAGCGACGTGGAGCAGCACACTGCCTCTTAGCAGACCCACAGGGAGTGGAGTGGTAAGTGGGGGCGGTTTGGTTTTATCTTTATTATTTAGCATCAGAAAATAATAAAAATACGGTGGTAATTTTGGCCCCCTGAGCTCGGTTTAGGTTTTCTGCGAAGTGCAGGATCCCCAGCTCCCACCTGGAGCTCCAGAGCTCCCGGGGACCCCAGTGTCCGCCCTGTCCCCTAGGGCCTTGTCACTCCCTGGCCCCGTAGCCCAGGGGACTTCACCTTCCCTGGGCGGTGGCCACATGTCCCGCCCGGCCCCTCAGGGGTCTGCGGGCCGCCGAAGTCGGGGTCTCAGGGCGTCAGGGAGCAACCAGGCCGCGGGGAGGGAGGCCGGCGCCGGCGCGGAATTTCTTTATCGGGATTTGGGAGCCGCGAGCTTCTCCTTTGCTTCTTTAAGCGATCACGGAAAGACACCTTTCGATCTTTTGTCAGACATCTTGGCCCTTAATAGCTAAATTTATTTGGTTTAAAGCGGCCACGGGAGAAGCAGGGAGGGAAGATCTTTCGTCGGTCATTGGGTGGCCTAGATAACAGGCTTGGAGAGAGAGGGGAGAAGAAAGTAAAAAGGTTAATGGATGAGGGGAGGGCTGGAGGCGCCCGGCGAGGGGCTTGGAAGGCGACCCTCCCCCGGCCGCCCCCTTATCGCGGCCCGAACTTACCCGCGGCGCAGCGAGTACATTAAGTCACGTAAACAGCGCGGAGAGGAATGCCACCGCGGTGACCTCTCCTGCGCCGCCGCCGTAAGCCCACCTCCGCGCCGTGCTGGCGGCCGCCAGCGGCGCGCGGGGGTCGGCCGGGGGCTGCGCTGGGCGAGAGGCCTTAGGGCCGGGCAGGGCCTGCGCCGCGCGCGGGGCCTCTATTCCGCCCGCCCGGGGACCCCGGCGCAGGCTCTGCGCGGCCCTTCCCTAAGTGGCTGGCGGCGGGAGCCGGGGCAGGGGGTGGGGGCGACCTTCAAGCTTCCGCCGCCACCACCTGACGTTTCTAAAGAGTGTTTTTGGTTTTCCGAGAATTAAAGAAAATCGCCGCCAGACTGGTCGACGGCCTGCGGTGCAAGTACGGCCACGCAGTAGGTGACAAGCCGCCCGGACCCCGCCGCTGGGCCCGGGCGCTGGCAGGGGTTGGGGGCTCGGAGGTGACCCCGGGTCCTTGGGTAGAAGCGTCCCCGGGACGGGAAGAAATATGGTATAAGCGGGAAGGCCTTATAAATCTGAGCTGTTAAAAATCTAAGTTAAAAATATGTTTTAAGTCAGAAATGCATTCTTTTTCTTTATGAAACATCGCTGGAGCAGCCAGTTTTGTGACAGGGTCGTAAAAATGAGCGTGAGTTGGCGCGGGTGGAGGTGCGCGAAGACTCCGGTCCTTGCCCGGGTCTCGCCGCTCCTCCGGAAGCGGCGCACGACTGGGTCCTCAAACACCCTTCCCGTTTGGCAGCCAAGCCCCTGCCCCCTGCCCAACTGGCTGCAGTGTTCTGGGTGGATTCGAATCGTGAATCGTGGTATGGCGCGGCCCAAATAAATCAACCCTGCGGACAGGTCGCGCCCAGGAATCAGCCCTCTGTGAGGGTAATTGGGACCGCTCGCCCAGGAGGGGCCGCTCATTGGGTCTAAATAGACCTGAGATAAATAGCTTCGTTCAAGATTAGCAAATCCCGAAAGAGGAGACAGACGGGGTGAAAGGGGGGGGGGGGAAAGGAAAGGAAGGAAAAGAAAAGAAAAAAATACCGGTGAAGAAAACAAGAACTTTTAAGAGCTTGTCCGCGTACCTTGGACACTAGTGGGGGTCTTCTTCCTAGCTCTTGGGGTTCTCCCTTGTTTGGGGTTCACTTCTTCCCTCCGAACTTCCTAGTTTGCTGGCTTTTCAGACCAGCTGGGGCGCGCCCAGGAAGCTCCACGCGCGGGCCTGGGGCTCATGGGAGTGGCTTTGAAAGCATGCTTGTCTTCCCCGGTGTGGTCCCTAGCGCCAAAGATGCACTGGGGAAAAGGCACATTGGAGAGGTCAGGAAGCCTGAGTTTCTGTCTGAATCAACTGTACGAGTTAAAAAGTTTTATTTTTAAATTAACCAACATTAAAAAAAACCAAAACAGCATTCACTACCCATTCCCTCGTTTGATTGGAAAACCAGTCTAAAAAAATAAATACAATCTGTGACCATGAAAAGGAGCAATCACTTATTTTTCTTATTTGTTTTGAACATTATTTTAAAAAATAGATAGGGAATCTGGAGGGTAAAATGCCGGGTCCCTTCCCGAGCCCTTAGAGCCCGAACGTTGTCGAATCGGTCAATGTCCATCCCGCCGCTCACCTCTGTCCCAGCAGCGCCAGGGCCAGCGCGCCCTCCCGCTGCGTCTGCGGAGCTGCGGCAAAAGCAGGTCCCCGGGGGTATCAGTGTCCAGGAATATCGGTGCAGACATCCTTGTACTTGCAAATACCAAAGAAACACACAGGACAGGGATCAGGCTCGCGCCAGGGCTCGATCTCCTCGGGGCTCAGGGTTGGAGGCCGTTCACAGCCTGGACTCAAACTGAGCCAAAGAGTTTTATTTTTAGCAAATAAGATGATTTTTAAAAAATTGCTTTTAATAACAAACCTGAGAAACATTATTTCAAAACGTTGAAATCAAAGGAAATCAAATGTCCACAACACATTTCCGTCACTGCTTACAAATAAGCTTCTGCAAAACCCAGTCCACTTAAACATTTGGTCGGAACTCACGAAAAGAACTAAAAAGCAAGGCATTCCGAGTCCTGGCAGGGGTTGAGTGGCTGGGCGGACGCCTGGCTATCTCATCTGGAAGTCGCACATTCGATCGCACTCAGGTTAAAATTTAAAGCCCCTGGATTCTGCTCCAGTCGCCAGCCTCTCCATTCCAGAGTTTTCTACCTTCAGCCTTTTCAAAATGCGGGCACGCTGAAACTGGGAGCCGTCAAAATGATTGGGGGAGGCAAAGTAGAATGCAATAAAAGTGACTAAATTCGACGAGAACGGTTTCTGGACCTTCTTGGTAGCAATTTAAAATTCAGGAGTGTCTAGTAGCAATTTACAACGAAGAAGGAAAAAAGAAGAATTATCGCTAACTTCCTGAATTCCTTGCCCCCTCCCCCGCACTGCCAGGCCACGTCCCCACGTCCCCGTTTCCCCAGGAGCCACAGGTTCACAACTCACAGTTACGTGCAGAGGAAACAACGCTTAGCGACGAGGTCTCACCATCTCTGGAAACCATACTTTACAACGCACCTCCCCACCCCAGTTCAACTCTGCACAGCCTCCTTTTCCCTCCCTAACCGGGAAAACACTAATGTAAAAACAAAACAAAAAACCAGACCCTAAACACTTTCTGGGAGACTGACCTTTAGAAAATCATTTACTTCGATTTACCTTGTGTGTGTGTGGGGGGGTGGGGTTTAAAAATGCATTATCACAAAAACAACTCCTCTTGTCCTAAAGTTTCCCTCGGCCGCCTTCTGGGGTCACGTCTGTCGGAAGAAATCCTTTCTGTGAGCGAAAGGGAGAGAGACATATATCACGGCTCCGGCAGCGGACAAGCCTGCGGCCGCGCGAGTCACTGCTGACAGATAGGCGCTGATAACCCCGCGACGTTCATTTCCAGTCCCTTTGCCCGCTAGGGACCGTATCAGTTTGTACAGAGTTGTGATAACCGTTTGGACGGAGTGAAGAAGGGGGTGTGTATATGAACGTGGGGGTGGGGAAGCAGCATTTAGCGCTGGGTCCAGGGAAGGCGACACCCCTTCTTCGCAATGACTTATCTGCGACTTACCTGAAACTCTCCCCGGGGAAAGCTCAGAGCAAATGGGACATCAAAAGTTGGAGAGCGTCCTCGAACGCGACTGATGTGGAAACCCTTTCCCATTTTGAGCGCCCTGTAGACTACCGTTCTGTAACGACCCAAGTTAAAAGTTCCCAGAGGTCAGCTGGGGAATGCCATAGTGAGGTATCTGAAACTTCCCGGGAATTTATATATTTAAGAGCAGTAAAGCTAGGGAGCCGGGCACTGGGTCCTACTTTTCCAGATTGTTGGAACCCAGGTTATTGACAGCCACCAACACCTGAGCCGTGCTAGGGCATCCCAAGATAGGGTCGGAGAAAGTTTAAGGTCGGTCTCACACAACTGTAGAGCAAAATGCTCATTTGCTGTGAAGGGGCTAGGCGGGGTGAGGGTAGGGGGGCGCACAGCACGTTCCCTCCTCCTTCTGGGGGCGTACTGACCCAGGGGCTGGAGCGCCCCTCCCGCCGTGGCGTCGAAGTGGGGCTGTGCACTGCCAACTCCTCCTGTGCCAAGGCTCCCTCCGCCTCCCTCGTGTGGGTGTGTGTGCGACTGCGGGAGCAGGAGGGTGCACCGCCGCTGGGTGGGTGAGGGTCGCCAGCCAGGTTGGGGGTTCTGTGGCCCTCGCCCCTCCCCCGGCGTCCCTGGGCTCAGCGCCCCCGGGTGGACTCGCCCTCACTCCGGGGATAGAGCTCCGGGCTCAGCCCACGCCCGCAGGCAGCGCGGCGCTCATTGTCTGCCTGGGCGGCGCACTCCCCTCCCCCTCGCCGTCCCCTCCCCACCCTCTTTTCTCTCCTCCCCTCGATCCCTCCTCCTCCTCTTCACCTCCAGCGCCCAGCTGCTCGCGGAGCGCAGTTCCGACCCACAGCCTGGCACCCTTCGGCGAGCGCTGTTTGTTTAGGGCTCGGTGAGTCCAATCAGGAGCGCAGGCTGCAGTTTTCCGGCAGAGCAGTAAGAGGCGCCTCCTCTCTCCTTTTTATTCACCAGCAGCGCGGCGCAGACCCCGGACTCGCGCTCGCCTGCTGGCGCCCTCGGCCTGTCTCCGCGCCTGGGAGCACCCTCCGCCGCCGCCGTTCTCCAAGCGCAGCGACAGCCCGAGGTTCGGCTGCTTCCTCCTCACGCGATCTCTCCGCTTCCCTCCCCTTCACCCTTACTTCTCCTGGTCCCCTTGGCCTCTGGCTCTCCGGCCCTCTCCAGGCCGCAGTCAGCTCCGAGGGTGTCTCCCTCCTCCCCTCCGGGCGGGCTATAGTGGCTCCCAGGCACTCGGGACACCGCGGACCAACTTCTAGTCTCTTTTCCTCTCCTCAAAGCGCTTATCTGCGCGCAGTCTTATCTCCGAGTTATCTCAGCCCAAAGGGGCGGGAGCGGGTAGTCAGGCAGGCAGAGAAACTTCTTTCTTGCTATCTAGCCAGGTCTGTGTGTGGGCATTAATTTTAGTGTGGTAATCTCCGATGAGCCGAGGCGATTTGGAAGAGCAGCCTGGAGTAGGCCAGCCCCGCTGCATTTCGCCTTCCTCCCCCACTCTCTCCGAGTTTCCCTGTCATTCTTCCGGCTCTCAACTTTGGGGTCGCCTCGGCTCTGGGGCGGTCTCACGCCCCCCCAACCCCTTGCGTTCCCCCCTCCTTTTCTCTGCGCTCCGCTCCACCCAGCTACGTCCGATTCCGGAACGGTCCGGCCTTTCTGCTGCTAGGGATGACCGCGGGGAGGGCCGGGTGGCTCGGCAGGCGTGAGCGCTCGCGCTGGTGGCAGCAGGCGCAGGCCGTGTCTAAGGTGTGGGTGGCCGCGGGGACACCGGTGGGGTTGGCGACTCCCGCCCCGCGAGCTCCCCGCACTGCCTCTGCCAGGAAGGACCCGGCTGCTGTCCCCGCCCTGACGTCCCACTTTCCCTGGGCCGAGTTGCATTTCTCTCTGGGGCTCGCAGCGCAGTCCGGAAAGCTCCGGGAGAGCCAGTACAGGAGAACGCGGCGGTTTCGTTTTCCTGGACAGGTTGCTTGCCTTCCTTATGCGAACCGTTTTCCCGCGGGGAACCCTCACCCCGAGGCATCCGCAGAAAGGCGGGATGCGGCGTTGGCGACAGGCACAGCTACTTAAATTCTTTTGTGTGTCATCAGCCCGGGGGAGACACTTTAGGGCGGAAAGAAAGCCTCAGCCAGCTTCTGCAGATCACCCCTGAGGTCTGGCGCGCGCACGGAGAAAGGATGCGGCGGAGAGGGTGGGCGGCTAGGGCGCGAGACCAGAGCGGTGCCTGTGAAGGAGGGCTGGTATCCCAGTCTTTCCATGGCCCTGTGGCGGCTGCGCAGGCTCCATTCGCCTCTCCCTTCCCAATCCTCACGCCCCGGGCAGAAATGGGATCTTTGAGAAGTCTCAAATGGGATCTTAGACTTCTGAAAGATCCCATTGGAGGTGGATCCCGTTTGAACTAGAAAAAGGATTGGAGGCGAGGTGGTGTGCAGCCGAAGCTCTTGGTAACCCGTCTGTGTCTCTCCTACCGTTCTCGTCTCCCCCACCCCGCCTCAGGACCTAGACGTCAGCTTGGAGCGGTGCGGGACCGTGGATGGCCTTGACTGACGGCGGCTGGTGCCTGCCGAAGCGCTTCGGGGCCGCGACTGCGGACACCGGCGACTCCGGAGCCTTTCCAGCGCGGGAGCCCTCCACGCCACCTTCCCCCATCTCTTCCTCGTCCTCCTCCTGCTCCCGGGGAGGGGAGCGGGGTCCCGGCGGCGCCAGCAACTGCGGAACGCCTCAGCTCGACGCGGAGGCAGCTGCAGGACCCCCGGCCCGCTCGCTGCTGCTCAGCTCCTACGCTTCGCATCCCTTCGGGGCTCCCCACGGACCTTCGGCGCCTGGGGTCGCCGGCCCTGGGGGCAACCTGTCGAACTGGGAGGACCTGCTGCTGTTCACTGACCTCGATCAGGCCGCGACCGCCAGTAAGCTGCTGTGGTCCAGCCGCGGCGCCAAGCTGAGCCCCTTCGCACCCGAGCAGCCGGAGGAGATGTACCAGACCCTCGCAGCCCTCTCCAGCCAGGGTCCGGCCGCCTACGACGGCGCGCCAGGCGGCTTCGTGCACTCTGCGGCCGCGGCGGCAGCAGCCGCGGCGGCGGCCAGCTCCCCGGTCTACGTGCCCACCACCCGCGTGGGCTCCATGCTGCCCGGCCTGCCGTACCACCTGCAGGGCTCCGGCAGCGGGCCAGCCAGCCACGCAGGCGGCGCGGGCGCGCACCCCGGCTGGCCCCAGGCCTCGGCCGACAGCCCCCCATATGGCGGCGGAGGCGGCGCGGCGGGCGGCGGGGCTGCGGGGCCTGGCGGCGCTGGCTCGGCCGCGGCGCACGTCTCGGCGCGCTTCCCCTACTCGCCCAGCCCGCCCATGGCCAACGGCGCCGCGCGGGAGCCGGGAGCCTACGCGGCGGCCAGCAGCGGGGGCGCGGGAGGCGTGAGCGGCGGCGGCGGCAGCCTGGCGGCCATGGGCGGCCGCGAGCACCAGTACAGCTCGCTGTCGGCGGCGCGACCGCTGAACGGGACGTACCACCACCACCACCACCACCATCCGAGCCCCTACTCGCCCTACGTGGGGGCTCCGCTGACGCCCGCCTGGCCCGCCGGACCCTTCGAAACCCCGGTGCTGCACAGCCTGCAGAGCCGTGCCGGAGCCCCGCTCCCGGTGCCCCGGGGCCCTAGCGCAGGTAAGGGTCGCGCCTCGGGGTGGGAGTGCGGGTCCGAAGCGGTGGGACACATGAGGGACGCGGAGCAGCTACTCCACTTGGGCCCTGTTTTCAGGACTTTCTTGTCCGAGTGCGCGGAGGTCGGCCTGGTCCCAGGAAGGTTTGCAGGCCTGTGGCTGGGTGATCAAAGTCTGGTGGCACTGAGGCGATTCTGTTGTGCCAAGTTCCTTTCCGCGCGGAAGAGACCAAATGCACATCTGCATCTTCGTGCCTTGGAGAAGTTCTCAGGGACTTGATGACTAGTGAATGGCATCTGCTATTGGGGAAAAATAGAGGCTGGGAGGGAACTAACAGCGCTTGAGCCCCATCGCAGACCCTACTTTGGGCCAGTGGAGGAAATTCCACGATGGGGGTAAGTTTGGGAGAGTGGTAGGCCCTTGATCCACCCCCAAACACGCACACATGTACATGCAGGCTCACCCAGTTGAACTCTCCAAAGGGTGCGTGTGTTTTCCTAGAGAAGGGTGTTTAGAAGAAGAGCACAACAGAAGGACTTAGATATCCTAGGGAAGCTAGTTGGCATCTCCCCTCCCACGAGGGAGACAAGGAAAGAAAAAATGAGGAGTGGCCAGACTTGTGACTTCATCCTGAAGGAGAGCTGGTGGATAGGCCCTTGGGCTTGGCATCAGCTGGACCCTGGTCTGGGACTGGTGCGCTCATGGCTAGGCTGCAACCTGGGGGTCCTGGAGCTGGGGCACCTATTCCTTAAAAATTTAGCCCACCAATTTTTCAGCTTCCAATTTGACTCATACTCTAATTCCTGTGTCTGGGAGCCATTAGGGGGTAAACCGTGAAAACGTTATTGTCAAAAAATACCTGGAAGTACCTCATTTTGAAAAGTGTTTTGTTTACTCTAGCAGAAGGGGGTGTTTAGGCTCCTTTTCTCAGCTGCAACGTTCTGCGCCCTTGGTGCTTTCAGCTGGCTCTTCTTACTGTATATTTCACCTGTTTGATAATCTTTCCTCTAAGGAAACAGCACTTTTTTTGTTGTTGTTGTTTGAAGGGAGGTGTGGGGGAGGCCCCTTGTGTCACAGAGGTGGCAGAGCGCAGGGAGGGACGTTAGTCCAAACAGTCCTACCCCGATGTCTTGTGTACCCCAGGTCTGTGCTTCTCGTAGGAGCCTCCCTACTACCTTTAGGGACAGCAAGTCAGTCCTTCTAGGGGTGCAGATTCCTTAGGTTAAGTGAGACATTCCCAGCCTTGTGTGCGAAAGACACAAGAGACACAACCTTGTGTGCTCGAAATACAAGAGGCTTGAAAGTG